TGCAAATGTGACAAATTAGTTGTTCTTCCTTTTAGCAACTCATAGGGTGTTTTTGTTTAATTTAGATCTCACATTCGCCCTATTCAGAACATAACATATAGTGCTAACTGCCTCAGTCCAAAAATATTTAGGAAGTGAGAATTCTGCCAACATGGCTCGAGCGGCTTCTATTAATATTGTGTTCTTTCTTTTGACTACCCCATTCTGTTGAGGGGTTTTAGGTGCAGAAAAGTTGTGATCAATTCCTTTCTCCTTATAAAAATCCTCAAATTTTTCATTCTCAAATTCTCCTCCATGATCACTTTGTATAGTCATAATTTCACATCCTAGCTTACGTTGAATCTAAATTGAAAAGTTTCTAAATTCCTCAAATGATTCACTTTTATGAAATAGAAATCTAACCCATGTGAATTTAGAGTAATCATCCACAATTACAAATTCATATACCTTCCCTCCTAAACTTTCAGTTCCAACTGGTCCAAAAAGATCCATATGCAAAATCTCCAATGGTTTACTAGTTCTAAGATCCTTATTGGACTGAAAAGATGACTTAACCTATTTTCTTAATTGACATGCATCACAAAGGTAGTCCTTAGTAAAGTCTAATTTTGGTATACCTCTCACTAGGTTCTTTTGGGAAATCCTCCTAATGTTTTTCATGCTAGAGTGACAAAGTCTCCTATGCCAAAGTCAAGATTCATCAGAAATATTTTTTAAACAAAAAGCACTAGGAGTTTGAATGCAATTCAAATCTAACATATACACATTATTTACTCTTATACCATTCAAAACATTATTTTCATTTTGGCTTAATATGCAGCTTGTAGGAAAAAATTTTACATAATATCCTTTATCACATAGCTGGCTTATACTTAACAAATTATGTTTTAAGCTTTCTACCAATAACTCATTTTCAATGTAAAAAATCTTAAGATTTCCAATCATACCTGACCCAACCACCTTCCTTGTGGTGTTATCTCCAAGTGTAACATTGCCTCCACTCTTGGCTTCTAGCGATATGAATTGTGCAGTATCTCCAGTCATATGCTTTGAACATCCACTGTCCAGGTACCATATGCTCTCACAAGGTCTTGTGTGAGAGAGACCCTACAAGATAATCAAATGTTAAACCTGGGAACCCAAACAAGTTTGGGTTCCCCTTTTAGCAATTTATAAAGAGATACATGTATGATATGTCTAGGTTTATACAGTTTAGGTTTTCATACCAAATAAGTTTTTTTCTTCAAAGTACAGGTGTGAGCTATGTGTCCAATTAGTCCACAATTATTACATTTGACTTTTGGAAAAGGATTCATAAGTCTTCTACTATTCATTTGTCTATTTAGGAATTACATAAATTTAGGATACAAAATAAGATTAATGAAATCTTCAAGTTTAGGGGGTATCCTATTATCCTAGAGAGCTTTTATCGTTAATTTGTAAAATGAATTCATATCTTCCAAAATTTGATTTGTATAATTGATTCTATAAATTTTGCTCTCAGATTCATCCTTAAAATTTTTAAATTCTTTTTCAAGTTCTACATAAGATGATTTCAAACTTTCATGATTTTTATTCAAGTCATCAAACTCATCAAGTAATTTTATATGGTTGTCATCAATTAATGCATGATCTTTCCTAAGGATTTCATGTTCCTTTTGTAGTTCCTCAAATTCTAAGCTCAGACTAATATGCATTTTCTTCATTTTCCTATATGCATCAGCATGTGTTTAGAAACTTCAAAAATTTCATCATAAGTTAAGTCACATATCTTTTCTTGATCTGACTGATCAAGATTATCAGCCATTAAGCACAGATTAGTGACTTCCTATACCTTTTCCGTCTCTGATGAGTCCGAAGCAGAGTCTGCCCAGAAAGCTCTTTGGAATTTCTTCTTTCCCTTCCTCACAATTTGTTTCTCCTCTACTTTCTCCTTGCTATGAGTGGCTTTGAGTTTTGGGCATTCTGTCTTAATATGTCCAAGTTTCCTGCACTCATAGCAAATAACATCATTTAAAATATTGACATTCCTATTAAATTTACATTGATTCCATTGCTGGTGTCTATTCTGCTTCCTCTTCAGAAAGCTTCTTAATTATCTAGTATTTAATGGGATGACATCTCATCCTCGGGTTGTGAGTGTTCACTCTCAGATTCCTCCACTTTTAGTGCTATATTCTTTTCCCTTCGTGGTTCACTTGTGTCAATCTTTATTTGACTAACTCCTTGCTCGTAAGCAATTAGCAAACCAAGAAGATTGTTAATAGAGTAAATGTTTAGATCTTTAGACTCTGTAATTACAGTAAGTTTAGTGTCATAAGCAGTAGGAAAATAATGAAGAATCTTATTAACCATTTTAGGATTAGTTAGTTCCCTACCCAATGCATGTAAAGAGGTAACTATTTGTGTGAATCTTGTGTATATATCAGAAATGGATTCATTTGGTTTCATGCGAAAAAGTTCATAATCATGCAACAAGATATTAAGTCTAGATTGTTTAACCTCATTAGTCCCCTCATAAGTTATATAAAGTCTATCCCATATGTCCTTTCCACTCTTGCAAATAGAAACCCGCATGTAATCTTCTGATTTAAGTGCACAAAAGAAACTATTCAAACATTTAAAATTTAGTTATGCTAAGTCACATTCTTCTACTGTCCAGTCCATAAAAGGTGTTTCAACTCTAACTTCATCAAGTAGTCTAGTTGGTTTTGTATACCCTTCATGAACTAAGATCCACATACGTTAATCAAGTGACTGTAAAAAAGTAGACATGCATATTTTTTCAAAAAATCAAAAGGAATATTATCGAATAATGGAGGTCTAGTTATAGAGTAACCCTCGGGTGTATTTTGGTTTCCAAATATAGCCATCTACGTTAATCAAAAAAGAAGTCTAAACTTATGATTGTGAAACAAAGCTCTGATACCACTTGTTGAAACATGTTCAATATGAATTAGGTTGTTTAACCTAAGCTTATGTCCCAGTGGCTAACCAAGAGGGGGGTGAATTGGTAATTAAAAATTAATCCCTCTTTTAAAATTTTAAAACCGAGAATTAACTTTAGTGAATTTTATAAAAAGAGATTTTTCAACCACAAGTTAAAACAATAAAAAATAAAAGGCTGCGGAAAATAAAAATATACAAGATTTATAGTGGTTCGATCAAACACGATCTACATCCACTCCCCGTAGGCACCCTCCGAGTATTGCACTAATACCACTAGTGACTCTCATTTTGCACCCACAGCAAGGCGGAGAAGCCTTTACAAAACTCTCTTCCACCACTACCCAGTGCAGTAGAGAACCGTCATTCTTTTACACTCTTCTCAGTGTTGGCAGAGAACCATCCGTCCTTTCACACTCTCCCGGTGTAGGCAGAGAACCCTTCTTCCTTTCACACTCTCCAAGTGTAGGCAGAGAACCCTTCATCCTTTCACACTCTCCAAGTGTGGGTAGAGGACCCGTCAATTGTTCACACTCTCCAAGTGTGGGCAAAGAACCCTTCGGCTGTTCACACTCTCTAAGTGTCGGTAGAGAACCGAATCTCTTTGACAGATCTTCTCACAAGAAATCTAGAAGGAAGAGAGAAAAGAGTGAAGTAATCAAAAATCACAACTAGAGACTCTTACCTTTGAGTACCAAGTGAAACCTTCACGCTCCAGTAGTAAAAATCCTTCTTTAAACACTCTCTCACACTCACTCCTTGAGTCTCCCTTCAGTTGGCACGAAGATCAATAGGCAAAAAGATTAAGAGGCAATTCTAATTGGACTTTATATAAGAAGACACAAAAAAACCATCCAAAAATTACTGATATTCAAGTCTGCATATAGTGGATCGTCCCGTACGATCGTGGATCGTCCTGGATGAACTTACTTAAGTTAGTTGCATACGAACCCAATGTATATTGGTACAAACTGACTCCGTACCTGATTATCGTCCCGTATGAACTAAGTTCATCCGGTACGAACAGTTATACCATGGGTTAGTTTGACTAACTGCAGGAAGTTATCAAAATTAGAAGTAATAAAACATTTTTGTCTTAGGATGAATACGAGTTCATCTGAACGAAATTTTTATTGAAAGCACTTCATCCTAGGCCGAATAGGAACTCATCTGAACGAAAATTTTCTAGAGAGCATTTCATCATTGGACGAATTGAAGTTCGTTTGGACAAAATTTTTATATAGAGCATTTCGTCCTGGCCTGAATATAGGATTTTGTGTGAACGAAAATTTTCCAGAGAGCATTTCATCCTGGGACGAATTGAAGTTCGTCTGGATGAAATTTTTACAGAGAGCACTTCGTCCTTGCATGAATAGGATTTCATCTGATCAAAAATTTTCCAGAGAGCATTTCGTCCTGAGATAAATAGAAAAATTTGTCTGGACTATCAGGACATAAAAAAATTTTCTTACTTCCTGTTCGTTCCATTGCTCTTCCGAGGGGATGACTGACTTGATCATCCCGTACAAACATGGTTCGTCCCGTACGAACATGGTTAGTTCCGTATGATCAGTATGAAATTTAAAGATCTTCCCAAGTGTGTGTGTACTAAGTTACTTAATTACAATCACTCCCTCTCAAACTCAATACAATGAAAAGTACAAGCTTCAATTTTATAAATTATCTCATGCAGAATTTTGATTTGAAGTCTTCATTAGTCTGGAGTTCGATTATCCTGAAATGTTAGTCCACACAAGAGCAAAAACAATTCTTCTAAAAAGTGTTAGGATAAAACAAAACTTTAAAATAATAATATTTGGAATCATAAAAACTTTACAAGTTGCAAGAATGTAAAACAAGCAAATAGAAATTCTCTCAATACTTGAGAATTTAGAGTTAATGATTGTTTGTTTTTGGATCCTGCTTGTTGTCATGTTCTTGAATTTCCATTATTTTACTAATAGATCAAATGTAGTTTGGTGAAAGTTTTGAACACTGTGGATTCTTAAACTTTTATATGAGGACTTTCTTTTTAAAAAATGGGGATAGTCTAGCTGATCAACCCTAATGAGGTAAGCAAGATATCCATTGCAAACTCTCCACAAAACATTATGAAGTTGTTAAATGATGGTTTTATTATTAAGAAACCTATAAAGATTAACTCAAGATCACATGCTAGATGCATGGCAGAAGAAAAGAGGATGGGACACCATTCTAGATATTGTAAGAACATGGGTACTAGGGGGTCTAGGTTGCCCACTAAGGTTCTATGGATGAGGAGGACGAGAGTTTTGAGGTGTTCGCTTAGGAAATATCAAGAAGCTAAGAAAGTTGATAAGCACATGTGCCATGATATGAATATAAAGGTGAAAGGTAATGTTTTCAAGAACAAGAGAGTTTTGATGGAGAGTATCCACAAGTCTACTGGAGAAAAGGAAAAAGAAAAGATATTTTTTGATCAATTTGAAGCCAAGAGGGCCAAGAGCAAGGCGAGCAGGGAGAATAAGATTTTTAGAAATGAGGAACATTTGGCTCAGATGCTTAGGTCCCTGGAGAAAAAGAACCACATACAGTAGCAGCTATAGCTCAATTATCTGGCTCTCTCCCCAAGAAAAGAAAGAAGCGAAGCTAAGAATTAACACGGTACTTGTGAAATGATATTCTAAAACATGGAAAAAAAATATTTTAAGAACTCATAGTTCCTAATCGTCTAGATTATGTGAAAGATATTTTTGATATTTTCCCCATCCTTTAACAAACCTTTAAAAAAACATGGAGTTCTGGTACAAAGCAAAGTCTAATAATCTTTTTCGACTTATTTCTCTATCTTCATTACGAACTCAAATCTAAAACACATCATTCATAAAAATAGGCGCTCAAACTTTGTCCTCATATCTCAGTAATAAGACCATTTATCATAGTTTTCTAATCACTCTTGTGGTGTGAAATTTGATTCCTTTAATGGTTGAGAGGAATTACTAAAAAATTAGTTATATATATATATATATATGTACTTCAAATTATTCAAAGAAAAAAAAACTTTAATCTTACAACACATAATTTACTTTGAATTCACATAAAATAAATAAATATTTGAGATAGATTTAAAAATGTCAAAATATTTTCAAATATATTTTTTAAAGTAAAAAATTTATGTTCAACATAATTTAGAAAAGGAAATATTGTAAATATTTTTTATTTCAAATTATTAAAATAAAATATATTAATTTAAATATTTTAATAAATAAATTTATATATAACAAATGTATAGAAAGTTCAAAATCTTGATAATTAATGTAAAGCTAGTATTATAATTCATTCATTTTTTAAAATAGTATAAAAGATATAACCATGATGTATCTGAAAAAAAAATATTGGTTATAATATTTTGAAATAATTAATTTCAATTATAAAAAAATTTCTTTCAAGATATATGCATATCCTAATAAAAAATTATCAACTTTTTTATTAATTTTTTATATTGTAGGACTAATTTCATAAGAAATTTTATATTGTAAAAAATAAAATAAAGAGAGGGCAAAAATATAACATGTTCACCCATAATTTATCTTCTTTCACTTTTCTCAATTATTCGTCCTAATGTTTACATATCTTTGTTTAGAGAAAATAAGAAAACAACTTCTAATTATTTAAAGTTTGTAGTGTAACTATATATGAAAGAAAGTGTTTTATTTTCCTTTCTTCTATATTTATATATACATAATTTCATTGTTCTGCTAGGGAAAGGCAATATATGGATTGAAATAGGCACCTAGGACTTGGTATGAGAGATTGAGCACCTTCCTACTTGAAAAATCATTTGAAAAAGGAAGTGTTGAAACAACTCTCTTTTTGAAGAAAGTTGGAAAGGATATACTCATTGTATAAATTTATGTTGATGATATCATCTTTGGATCTTCAAATAAAGATCTTTGTGATGATTTTTCTAAAATAATGAGTAGTGAATTTTAAATGAGATTAATGAGAGATTTATGTTACTTTCTAGGCTTTAGCATTAAGCAAATTGAAGAGGGTACATTTCTTAGTCAGTCAAAATATATTATGGACATTCTCAAAAAGTATGAAATGGACAATGCTAAACCTGTTAGTACACCTATGAGTTCCTCAGTTCAGTTGGATAAGGACCCTAAGGGAAAATCTGTTGATCAAAAGAAATTAAGAGGGATTATTGGATCTTTGCTTTACTTGACAACTAGCCGACCGGATATCATGTTTAGTATTTGTTTGTGTGCTAGATTTTAATCAGATCCAAAAGAATCACATTTGACAGCAGTAAAAAGGATTTTATGATATCTGTTAGGAACTCAGAACTTAGGAATTTGATATCCTAAGTTTAGCTCTTCTTTTGAAATAATTGGTTATTCTGATTCTGACTTTGCAAGTTGTAGGATGGATAGAAAGAGCACTTCTGGCACATGTCAGTTTATTGGAAATTCTTTAGCTTCTTGGTTCAATAGAAAACAAAATTCATTAGCCATATCAACTGCTGATGCTGAATATCTTGCATTAGGAAGTTGTGTGGCACAAGTACTTTGGTTGAAACAATAGTTGATTGATTTAGGTATAATTATAGGCATTATTCTAATTTTTTGTGATAACACTAGTGCTATTTGCATTTCTAAAAATCCTATTCAATATTCAAGAACCAAACATATAGACATCATGCATCATTTCATTAGGGATCATGTATCTAAAGAAGAAATTGAACTCAGTCATGTTTCTACTGAAAATCAACTTGCAGACATTTTTACAAAACCCTTAGCCTTTGATACTTTAAGTGCATTAAGAACAAGGCTTGGAGTAATCGATTTGAATGCTTAATAAAAAAGTTTCTTCTGCAACATTGATGTGTTTTTCTTGTTAGTATTTTTTTTTTTTTTTTGTATCCTTGAGTTTGTGATTTTTTCTATATTTTGAGTTTGTGTTTTTATTTTTCTATTATATTTTTGTTATATTTGTGTTTTAGTTTTGATTAAGTGCATGTTTTGAAAAAAAAATTAAGTGACATTCGTCCACGACGAAAATATTTTCGTACGAGACGAAGTGTGTAGTGTGTCAACTGTCGGATTTGAACTGTTTACGTGCAGTTTTTCTATTTTTATTTTTTCACTTTGTATCTACGATCGTCACGATCATTCAGATGAAATTTTGAAATGACGGGATGATTGAATGACAATTAAATGGATAAGATCATTTTTAATATTATATTTCGTACGTACGAACCTTTGGTTCGTCCAGACGAACGCTTGGGGAATCGATATAGGGGACTGTTTCAACTACCATTAAAATGATCATAAATTTCTGATCATCCAGGACAAACACCTGTTCATATGTACGACCGGTTGTTCCAAAGTCTGTACGAAATGTCGCTTTGTAAGTTGTGTGATTACGAAAAGCCATTTCATTTTGGACTCATTCGTTCGTCCATACGAAATTTTTTGGTACAGGATGAACTGAATTTTGTACGGGACGAATGTAATTTCGTCTGTAAGAATAGACATATTTCATTAAATTGATCGGTTATGAACTCAACAGTCACACTCACACATCCCTTTTAGAACCCTTTCTTCCTTTAAATCTTATCCATGGCAAGTTCAAGCAAGCAAAAAAAGGTTCTCGCCAAGGGTCCACACAAAAATTCTTCTGATAATTTTCTATCCAAAGCCAATGAAGAATCTTTTCCTAAATTTACCACCGCTAAGATCACCCCGTATAGAGTTCTTATACAGGATCATCTGACCTTTTAGGTAATGAACTTGTTTGCTTCAACTCAATTTGGTCTCATTCTCACACTAGTCCATCTCTACAACCAAGAGACCTTTCATTATTTTCTAGAAAACATGTCCTTCAACTCTGACCATTCTGTAATCAAGTCTTTTGTTTTTAAGAAGAAAGTTGAAATCACCATGGCTGACTTAAGAATCTTTTTGAACTTAAGGACTGAGGGAATTAGAGCCCATACCATGACCATTACTGCTGATTTTGATTGGAGTGAAATTAATGAAGTGATTAGAAAAATTATATTTAAGGAGCATATGCCTAAAGTGTCTTCTCTTGTTTGCAATGCTCGTATCATTCAGCATGTTCTTTGAACTTCCATAATTCCTAAAGCTGGTGATAGAGTCAACATTATTTCTCTTCTTTCAACATTAACCTACTTGATTATGATTAAGCAACCTATAGATGAAGCCCAACTAATCCTTGACTATCATTATAGACTTTCTAAAATTGGTCATGTTACCCATAAGAGAAAGAAGAACATTGCTTGAGGACATCTTGTTGCCTACATTTTAGAGTAGAAGTATGAATTGGTTCATCCAATTAAAGATTTTGAAGAACCTCTCTACTACAACGACGGATCTTTTAGAGCAATCTTCAATAAAGATGAACCACATAAAGCACATGTTATTAGTGACTCAAAGGAGGAACATGAACCTTTACCTACACCTGCTTGTGAACCAAATTATCAGGATTTGGTTCAGAGATTTGATCGCTTAGAGTCTTATTTTGATCAAAGATTTAATCAAATTGAAACTCACTTATAGCAATAAGATATTCAGTACAATTAGGACATGGGGTACATGAGAGTGCATATGAATGATATTAGATCCAACGTGCTTATGATAAGCAGTTATTTTAACTTCTTCAGTATTGTACCTCCTCCTCCTCCTCCAGATCAGTTCCATCAGAGTGATTCATGTACTTGATTATGTTATTCTTTAGTTGATGTGTTTTGTGATGTAGTAGTTTGTGATGTGTTACATTGTGATGTATTTTATTTTAGTTATGTGCTTATTTCATTTGATGTTTTTGTATGTTGAGTTTTATGTGGTATTGATATCATTTCTTAGTTTATAATATCCATTATAATGATATCAATACAAATTATCTTGTTTTGTTTTAATCTGATTTTGAAATGTGTGTTAACCTATATGAAAATCCCTAAACCTTTTTTATCCTACAAGTGCTATAACTTAAGCTGCAACTCAAAATTGAATTCATTAGAAAATCTAATTTTTCTAAATTTAAGTTTTGCTTATAACTTGATAAAACTAAGAATGTCAATTTCATGTCTCTTATTAGACAAAATTAATATTTAATATTATTATTGCAATTGTGATATTTTCTTATTTTATATTTCACTTATTAATAAATATTGATGCACTTAGAAAATTTTGAAATTTTTTATTATTGATTTTGAAAAGATCAAAATTACTCTTAAAAAATGTACAAATGTACTAAAACTAAAAGGAATGTGCAATGGTTCGCAATTTGAAAAAGAGGCACAAAATAAGCCCATAAGTAAAAAGATGCACAAAAATGTGCCACAACTATTGAAAAAGATGTGCAAAGCACCACATGTGGTAGTCATTTATTTCCAAAATATTTTAATCTCTTAATTCAAATTCATCTTCTGTACATTTATATTTTGTATTGAAATTTAAAATATATAAATTTTATATTCATCCTTTTTTGCAATGATTTTCTTTATCTTAGTGTCTAAATTGATTCATGTTTTTTATATATATTGGTTATTATCAATGTTATATCTCTT